TCCCCTGCCCTCCCTTCACCCCCATCACTCTTCCCTACTTACAAAGACTTTATTTCCTTTTTTTCATTTTTTCACATTTTTCTTTTCCCTTTCTTCCTTTCACCTCCCCTTCCCACTTCCCCTTTAGCCCTTTTATTCTTATTTCACTCTCCCAATTATAACCTTTGAACCTTATTTACACTTCTAGTTTTTCACACCAGAGAAACTTTGGTATTTACTCAAGTGTGTCTATTTATTTCACTTAAGAGTATAGCCTCAGTGTGCATCCATTTAGCTGTAAATGTTTCTAGTTTCTCATTCTTTATGGCCGAGTAGTATTCCATTTTATAGAAAAACCACATCTTTATCCAGTCTCCAGTTGATAGGCAAATGGGCTGTTTCCAACTTTTAGCTATTACATACTGTGCCGCTATAAACATGGGTGCACATATATCACTGTGGTATGATTCTTTTAATTCTTTTGGAAAGATAGCAAGCAGAGGGATACCTGGGTCAAATGGAACCTCTAATCCTAGTTCTTTGAGGGATTTCCATGTTGATTTCCACAGTGGTTGCACCAGTCTGCACTCCCACCAACAATGGAGAAGGGTTTCTTTCTCCCCACAGCCCTGTCAGCACTTGTTATTGGTTGATTTCTTCATAGCAGCCATTCTTTCTGGGGTAAGGTAGAATCTCAGTGCTGTTTCCATCTGCATTTCTTGAATGACCAGTGAGTGATATTGAACATTTTTTTCATATATTTATTTGCTGCTTTTACTTCTTTGTGTGAGAAATGTCTGTTCATTTTTTGAATTGGGTCTTTGTATTTGGGGGGATGTCTGATTTTTTTTTTGAGTTCTTTATATACTCTAGGTAGTAGTCCTTTGGGGAGTAGCTGGTAAATTTTTTTCCCCACAGTGTAGGTTGTCTCTTACCTCTCTTGGTGATTTCTCTTGCACTGCAAAAACTTTTTAATACAATGAGATCTCAGCTGTTTATTCTTTGTACAAGTTCTCGTGCGGCTGATAATTTGTTCATAAAGTCTTCTCCTATGCCAGTGTCTTCGAGAGTTCTACCAAATTTACTTTCTAATAACTTTAGTGTTTCTGTTTTTAGTATATGTGCTACCGAAGCAAGCACTAGTGTTTCTGTTTTGATATTTAGATCTTTAATCCACTTGGATTTTAGTTTAGTGCATGGTGAAAGATAGGGATCTAGTTTTAATCTTTGGCAAGCTGAAAGCCAGTTTTTCCAATACCATTTATTAAAGAGGCTATGTTTCATCCAGTGAGGAATGGTTGGCTCCTTTCTCAAGGATGAGGTAGCTGAGTATGTCTGGTTTTGTTTCTGCATCTTCTAATCTGTTTTGTTGATCCTCAGGTCTGTTTCTTTGCCAGTACCATGCTGTTTTTATCCCAGTCACTTTGTAGTATAATTTCAAGTTGGGAATTGTGATACCCCCTGCCATGTCTCTGTTGCCTAGAATGGTTTTTGTTATTCTAAGTCTCTTCCGGTTCCAAGTGAATTTTTGGATTGTTTTCTCAAGTTCTGTGAAATACACTGTTGAGATTTCAATAGGGATGGCACTGAATCCATATAGAAACTTTGGTAGTATGGCCATTTTCACTATATTGATTCTTCCTACTTAGGAGCAAGGGATGTCTTTCCATCTTCTTTTATCCTCTTCTATCTCTTTTTTCAGTGTAGAGGTCTTTTGTCTCCTTCATTAGACTGATTCCTAGATATTTCATCTTTTGGATGTCATTGTGAAAGGAATTGTTTCCCTAATTTCTCTCTCAGTGAGTCTGTTATTTGTGTACAAGAAGGCTATTGAATTTTGAGTGTTGACTCTATATCCCACTACTCTGCTGAATCTGTCAATTAAGTCTAGCAGTCTTTTGACAGAATTTTTTGGATCTTCTATGTAGAGTATCATATCAGCAAATAGTGACAGTTTAACTTCTTCCTTTCCTATCTTACTTTTATTTCTTTCTCTTGTCTAATTGCTGTGACTAATGTTTCTAGAACTATATTGAACAGAAGTGGTGACAGTGGACATCCTTATCTTGTTCCTGATTTTAGTGTGAAGGTTTTTAGTTTTTGACCATTTAGAATGGTATTGGCTGTTGGTTTTTCATAGATAGCCTTTATCAGATTGATAGACCATCTGTTCCAATTTTCTGTAGGGTTTTTATCATGAATGTGTGTTCCCATACCCTTTTCTACCCCTAGCCCTCCTTTTTTTTTTTTGAGATAGTTAACCAGGCTGGCCTCAGACTTGTGATCCTCCTGCCTTAACCTCTCAAATAGGATTGCAGTGTGTGCCACCACATCTAGTTTATGTACTGTATGAGCTCTTTTGTGAATATATTTTCAGTTCTCTTGGGTATATTACTAGGTGTGGAATTCTAGGGTAACACTATGTTTAACTTTTTAAGGAACTGCCAAGCTTTTTTAAAGTGGTTGGTACCACTTTACATATCAGCGGTATTTTAGGGTTCTAGTTTCTCTGCATTCTCAATTAACACGATTGATCCCTTTTTGATTATAGCATTCTAGTGGATGTGAAGTAGTATTTCACTGTGGTTTTGATTTGCATTTCCTTAATGATTGATGTTGTTAAGCTTCTTGTCACGTGCTTATTTGACATTTGTGTGTTTTCTTTGGAGAGATGTCTTTTTTTTTCCTCATTGAGTTTATTGGTAAAATTTAGGTTACAGTACAGTTACATTCATCATTGGGATCTTGTACCTTTATATGGCAGGTCTTGGTTCTCATTTTTTCCCCTTACCCCTGTGCTCCCTTCACCCCCTCCTCCCTTCCCTATTTACAAATACTTTATTTCCATTTTTTTCATTTTCTCATTTTTTGTCTTTTCCTTTATTTCTTTTCCCCTACCCTTCCCACTTCCCCTACACCTTTAGCCCCTTTCTTCCTATTTCACATTGTCAATTATACCATTAGGACCTTATGTACAATTATAGTTTTTCACACCAGAGAAACTATTTGGTATTTACACATGTGTGACTTATTTATTTCACTTGAGTATATCCTTAATATGCATCCATTTTCCTATGAATGACTCTAATTTCTCATTCTTTATGGCTGAGTAGTATTTCATTTTATAGAAAAACCACATCTTTATCCAATCTCCAACTGATGGGAAAATGGGCTGTTTCCAAATTTTAGCTATTACAAACTGTGCTGCTATAAACATAGGTGTGCCTATATCACTGTGCTATGATTCTTCTAATTCTTTTGGAAAGATACCCAGCAGAGGGATGGCTAGGTCAAATGGAACCTCTAATCCTAGTTCTTTGAGCTATCTCCATATTGACTTCCATAGTGGTTGCACCAGTCTGCACTCCCA